TTAGTCTATGCAAATCATATGGAATTCTTCTAATACCAATCCACTGAAATTGAGTTGATTCTGACTCATTGTGGTCCAACAGGATAGAATAGCAATAGCACTGGCCCACAGAATTTCCAAGTCCATAAATATTTATAAAAGAAGACTGCAAAGGAGCTCAGGTGGCCTAAAGGCAAGAAGCTGTGCTACAATCCTGAAGGCACACGGTTCAAATCCACAGATGCCCTGCTGGAGAAGGGGGAACAATCTCCTCCTATTACACAACAAGAAAGGGGGGGGGGAAATGCGACGGATACATATTTCTCCTATAGCCTGATTGGTGGATTCAAGCTACTAATCTTTCAGTTAACATCCAGCTGCTTAACCACTACACCCCCCAGGCTTCTTTGCTATAACCAGACCACATGAACTCAACCTCTAGTATATGTATAAAGCTGGTCATTCTTTTGCCTCCATTTACCTTGCTAGAAGGGTGTTTGGATGGAATTTCAGGGACTTGTCTATGACTAAACCATAAAGCATCCTGGTAGCATGTTACAGTTGTTCTGAACTGTCATGTTGGAACTGACCCTCCAGTGGGTTTTCAGAAGCAGGAGATTGCCCATCTTTCTCACACAGAACAGCTGGTAGATTTGAACTACATGCCTTTGAGGTGGCAGCACAATTCCTTACCACTAGGCCACCAGGGCTTTCTTCCTAGTGACATAGTGCATTACCTATCAGGCTGCTAACTAAAAAGTCAGTGGTTTGAATTCACTAAGCCATTCCTCAGGAGATACTTAGGCCAATTTCTCTGATAAAAATTTACAGCCTCAGAAACCTGATGGGAAGTGGGGGTCACTATGAGTTTGTATCAACTTAACAACTATGACTCGTATTGTTGTTAAGGACCATTGGGTCAGAACTGACTCGTAGCTGACCCTCCAGTGGGTTTTCAGAGGTAGTAAATCGCATAGTTGGAAAGTGTTCATCTTTCTTTTGCTGAGTTGCTCGTGAATTTGAACCACATGCCTTTGGGTTGGTAACACAGCTCCTTACTACTAGGTCACCAGAGTTCCCTGTAATTTTGTTGGCAGATGAGAATAAGCAGAAATCTTGATTTTCAAGGAGAAAGAATACAAGTTTTGGTTCTTGGTTTCGGCACCCTGTCTTTTTTTTGTTAGGTAAAATGTGCTACAAAAATCCTCTCCTACTCCAAAGGACGGAGATCTCATACACGAGGAACGAGGAGAAACTCAGTTCTCCTGCAGGTCACTTTTAGACTTTTCATTTTTGTCCTTCCCAACACTTGCTGTATATTTTGGTGCATCTAAAGGGATTAATAAGAGGTACCTCATAGGGGAATATGGGGAAGTAAGAGTGACGCAGGGAGAGAATAGATACCACGTGAATTCTGACCACAGGGATGCTGTGAGCAGGCATTCAGCCTTTCTAGGAAGGGTGTTTCCTCTGCGAAGAAGGACTTCCTGCCTTTGTCCCAGCTGTCTCTCCCTGGGTGGAAAGGGAAGTAAATGTTGATGGATCCCAAGCCTGAGAAGGGGGAGCAGACTGGAAGGAGAGGTGTATGCAGCTCGGGACTAGAACTCCTGGTTCTCTTTGAGGGGCTACTTCCTAGGGGGAAAATAGCAGCGACTCAGCCGTTGCCAACTGCAGTGGAAATTCTGAGCTCAGTCTCAGGCTGCTCAGACCACAGCAGGCTCCACCCTGGGGCCTTGATTGGGATAGCAGTGTGTGAGTCCTCTGGCCTGCAGTCGGACTGCTCAGGAGCCCTCCCCTTGCCTGCACTGAGGGTAGACTCCAAGTTAGCAGCCCTCAAACGATAGGGTGGCCCCTTTCATCCCCGCTCCCAAGTTAGCGCGTTCTCTCCTCAGCCTCAGGGGCATTGCTTAGTTTATTCTGTCTAATTCACTGGCTCACAGAAGCCTCACTGACAAAGAAAATCAGTGGAGGCTAGGAAAAACCACAAATAAATAAATCAATTGCAGTGTGGTGTTTGGGGAAGAGAAGAAGAGGTGGAAAAAGTTTCTGTATGGAGCCCTGATCTCAAATCCAGCCCCTGCCAGCTATTCTCAGATCTCTGCTTCTCATTTCATCAGTGACTTCTGCTCTGTCTCTTTAATATTTTCATCCTCTTGCAGTGGAATGTTGGGATTTTTTTCCACTCTAGTGGAACACTCCTAATAAAATCCCTGACTTGATACTCTGCTGTTCAAGTTATGTGAGCTCCCACATGACTTTGCTGCCAAAGCATACTTTTCAAAAAGTTGAAAAACTTGACTCTCATACAAATAAAGAGTGATACATGTCAGAGATTTCTTTACGTTATTCATGAGAGAGCCAGCAGGATAGAAACATTCACTCAAGGAGAAGTTGAAAAACTGAGAATTTGATAGGCACTTAAAAATATGTTGGAACATGATTGCTCTATTAGATACAAATCTGTTTCATGTACTACAGAACAATAAAACAAATAAGTTTTGAAATTATTTCCATTTCCACCAGACAGAAATCTACAAATTAGATTTACATCTGCATAAAGAAGGTACATGTATCTTCACAAAGTATAGATTGGAATGAATAATAAATAGTAAGTTAGACAATAAGTTTAAGAAACATCCTTAGATGAAATACCTCTTTATTGGATTTTTTTAGATAATGTTCTAGAATGGCATTGAAATGGTATACATTCCTCCTTTGACTTTATTACCAAACTTTTATTTTATTTGTTTCTTTATTTTGTTGGCAAAGAATTCTGAACATATCACAGGCTGCCAAAAGAACAAACAAGTCTGTCTTGGAGAAAGTGCAACCAGAGTGCCCCTTAGAGGCAAGGATGGTGAAACTTCATCTCACATACATCTCATATACTATGTTGTCAGAAATCCTTGGAAAAAGACATCATGCTTGGAAAAGGATAGGGTCAATTAAATGAAGGAAGACCCTCAAGGAGCTGCGTTGACACAGTGACTGAAGCAGTGGACGTAAGCATGGATAGCTCACGAGGATGGGGCAGGACATCTGTTATTTATGGATTTGCAGTGAATGGTGGTTGACTCAGTGACACCTGTTCTTCTCTCCAGCATGCAAATCTTAACAATGAAAAGTAAAAATCCTATGTATGATAAAACAGGAGAAATTGCCAGTTGTGGTAGACTAAAGTTGAGGTCTCTGGAAAAACAACAACAGTTAAGAAATTTCAAGTGCTCACCATGTGGCAGGTGTTAATGCTTTTTATATTTGTGAACTTTTTTAAAATAAAATTTTAATTGTTATTTTAATGAACACTTACAGAGCAGTTATATTTTCATTCTTGCATTGTTGCACCTTTTGCCCCCTTCTCCTTCCTTCCCCCTCCCCAGTTCACTTTTTTTAAAAAATATTCATTTATTGTTGCGAATATATGTGAACTTGTTTCATGCTTTAACAATCCTATCTCCATTTCACAGATTAAGAGACTGAGACATAGTCTTGATCACACATAGTTAGAAAGTAGCAGAGCTAAGATTTAAACTGAAGCAGTTTGACTCATGCTGGCTGACCTTCAACCAGGTGGCCAAGGGAGGTGGGCCCAGGGTCGAGTGTGTGTCAGAGAAGGGAGTGTCAGTCACAGGCTTTTGTTAGTTTGTTTTTAAATTTGGTAAAAGTATAGACAGCTAAAGATGCTACATCATTTCAACAATTTCTACATATGCAATTTCATTATCTCTGGCATACAACAATAATATAATCTTAAAGTCACTGATCTATAGGTTTTTCATGGAGGAATAGTGTTTTATCCAGAATATGATAAATCACATCAAGGATTACCCTTTATCCTTAAGGAATTCCAGGAAGAGCTCTGCCTTTACACACTCAGTATTGATATCACCAAGCTTCTTTTCCCAAAAGACAATTGTCTCTTTCTAACTAGTTTCTGAGTCTTGGGAAGAGGACTACAGTTGTCTTCCTTTTTTTTTTTTTTTTAGGCAAAACAATTTAAAAAGTTTATTAAGGTAATAAAACTTATTATTTGCTTAGCTAGTGTAGTGAAAGGTAGGCCATGCAAAAGATTTTATGTGAAAAAGAAGAAAGAGGTAAAGGTTATCTTATTTCTTTTTTTAAATTTTGTTTTTTATTCACTGTTGCACATTTTCTTTCCCCCTTCTCCTCTTGCCCTCCCCCAGCCCACCTCACAATGCACTCCTTGTTCCAGATTGTTCTCATACATACAATGCATAATCATCTATTCCTTTCAGACAGTTCCTTCCCTCATCTGTTATAATGTTCATTATCTATCCACTCTTTCCCTATTCTCCCCCAGAGCTCCCCCATTAGCCTTCCTATTTTATAACAGCAGTATTATGCCCTATTTGACCTTTTGTGACTGAGATATTTCACTCAGCATAATGTCCTCCAGGCTCCCCCCATTGTGTAATGTTTTACAAGTTCATTGTTTTTCGATGTTGTGTAATAGTCCATTGTGTGAACATTCCGTAGTTTTTCTATCCATTCATTTGTTATGGGCACTTGGGTTGCTTCCACCTCTTTACTGTTGTGAATAACGGATCAATAGTCATGTGTGTGCATACATCTGTTTGAGTCATGGCTCTGGTTTCTTTAGGATATATTCTCAGTAGTGGAATTGCTGGGTCAAATGTTATTTCTATTTCCAACTTTACGAGAAAGTGCCAGACTGCCTTCTGTAGTGGTTGTATCATTTTACACCCCCACTGGCAGTGAATAAGAGTTCCAATCTCTCTACAGTCTCATTGGCATTTGTTGTTTGCTGCCCTGTTGAAATTTACTATTGTTTCTGGATTTACTTATTAAAAGCACTTGTGGAGTGTAGGCTTATAGGATAAAAATGCAGCAGTTTTAAATAATTTCTTCTTTGTTATTATAAAAACTTACATAGGAATAGTTGTCCTAGTGGAGAAGGAGAGAGGAAATAGATTTATCTAGATGGCTTAGTTGTTGTCCTGTTCTTAGTTTCTACCACTTTACTTTGTTTTCTCCGTTAGATATGGAAAGATTGTCTCTACGAAGGCCATCCTAGACAAGACCACAAACAAATGCAAAGGTGAGTGAACAGCCACCCTTGGCATGGGAAGTAGCAGTGAGTGAGGCTGTCCTCACCTCTGCCCGTTACTGAAGCTGAGTCCTGAGGATCTAGTGCCGGGGAGAAGTTTTCAGGCTTAAAGACGAGGGTTGCAGTTACGTGCCATCAAGTTGGAACTGACACACAGCTGAACGCTCAGTGGTTTCAGCTGTAAATCTTACGGCAGTAGATTGCCCACCTATCTCCTGGAGCAGCTGGTGGATTCCAGCTGCCTGCTGAGTAGATATTTCAGTTCTTCAATGACCAGATTGTTTGAGCTGAAGATGGTGTTTTGGAATCCAGAAGCTAAAAGATTACACAGAACATATTTGAGTCTTTTGAGCTAGACCTCACAGATTAGGTGGCAATATTGTTTCTATTTAGCAAAGCAGTGAAAATGCTTTCTGTGGGAGGTCAGTGACTTATTAGATGTTCTTTTCTGAGGATGAATTATTTTACTGGGGTTTTGAGCAATTCTAGAGGGAGCTGGAAGGATGGGAGAGATCTGCAGGTTGGGGTAAGGAGGGGCTCTTTCCCCGCAGGTGGCCAGTTATCTGCTCTGGAGAGATTACATTCCCTACATAGTTAGCATTTCTGAGGTATGACTGGAAAAGAGGAGGTAGTACTTTTAGAAATGTGGAGGGAGGGTTATTGGAAAAACTAGAAACCAGAGTGCTCCTTGGAGGCAAGGCTGGTAACATACTTAGTTGTTAGGAGAGGTCAGTCCTTGGAGGCCAGCATGCTTGGAAAGGTGGAGGGTCAGCAAAGAAGAGGAAGACCCTCAGTGAAATGGACTGACTGATGTAATGACTGTAATAGTGGGCCCAGGTATATCAGAGATGGCGAGGATGGCACAGGATAGGGCAGGGTTCAGATGTAGTATTCACAGGGTTGCTGTGTGTTGTGTGCAGCTCACAGCAGCCAATGACAACGATTAGTTCCACAAGTTTTAGAGGTTTGAAAAAGAAGTTGAGGTGGGAGGGAGAAAAGTAGAGTCAACACAAGGACTTTATTGCCCTTGGCATTATTAGGTATGTTGTTGTTGTTAATATACCATCCAGTCACCTGCAACTCCTAGTGACCTTATGCACAATAGCTCTAAACCCTGTCCTGTCCTAAGCCAGTCT